GCAAATGGAGAGTGAAGTTTATGCTCCCAGCGGGTGAAACTTCCGGTTTTTGCGCTTTATGGTTAAGACGTTAGGAATTTTCGAAAATTGGCTTCAAATGGSTGARAATKWCAACCKCKCAAGCTCCCCTTTAAAAGTCTSTGGTTGKCGCATTTTTGCSTAGATTTGASTGAAACTTCCGGCAAGTGGAGAGTRRAGTTTWYGMTCYCAGMGGGTGAAACTTCCGGKTTTTGCGCCTTYKGGATAAGACGKYAGRAATTTTCGAAAATTGRCTTCAAATGGSTGAAAATKTCAACCTCGCAAGCTCYCCTTTAAAAGTCTCTGAGTGTCGCAATTTTGGCTAGATTTGATTGAAACTTCCGGCAACTGGGGGGTGGAGTTTCTGCTCCCAGGGTGTGAAACTTCCGGTTTTTGCGCCTTCTGGTTAAGACGTTAGGAATTTTCGAAAATTGGCTTCAAACAGGTGAAAATGTCAACCTCGCAAGCTCCGCTTTAAAAGTCTCTGGGTGTCGCATTTTTGCCTAGATTTGAGTTAGACTTCCGGCAAGTGGAGAGTGGAGTTTCTGCTCCCAGCATGTGAAACTTCCGGGTTTTGCGCCTTCTGGTTTAGACGGCAAAAATTTTCGAAAATTAGCTTCAAATGGGTGAGTTTCAACCTCGCAAACTCTCCTTAAAAAGTCTCTGGTTGTCGCATTTTTGCCTCCATTTGAGTAAAACTTTCGCCWAGTSGAGAGTRTGGTTTCCGCTCCCAAAKAGTGAAACTTCCGRGTTTTGCCCTTTYTGGTTTAGACGGCARRAATTTTCGAAAAWTGGCTTCAAATRGGTGAAAATGTCRACCTCGCAAGCTCCCCTTTAAAAGTSWCTGGGTGTYGCATTTTTTGGCTAGAKTTGAGKGAAACTTYMGGCAASTGGAGRGTGRAGTTTCTGCTCCCAGCGGGTRAAACTTCCGRKTTTTGSGCTTTCTGGTTTAGACGGCAGGARTTTTCGAAAATTGGCTTCAAATGGGTGAAAATTACAACCTSGCAAGCTCCCCTTTAAACGTCTCAGGTTGTCGCATTTTTGCCTAGATTGGACTGCAACTTCCGGCAAGTGAGGAGTGGAGTTTCTTCTCTCAGCGGGTGCAACTTCCGGTTTTTGCCCTTTCTGGTTTAGACGGCAGGAATTTTCGAAAATTGGGCCATTTTAAAGAGGGAAGCCGCCTCTATCAACGCCCAGTGCCGGTTCATGTGCCGTTGCAGCGCAAGTCCTGCAAAAATGCCAACCAAACTTCCCGGACTTTCAGGTGAAGCTGGCAGCTACGTAAAGGAAATCATCAACATAACGACAGAGGAGCGGAAACACCGCAAAGACAAAGAGCTGGACCGTCACCTGACCGAAGAGGAGCGTCTGGAGCAGGAGCAGCGCAGGGTCAAACTGCTGGAAGCAGGTGAGTGTCATCCCAGTTGCGCAGACCCCTTGGCGGCGCGCAACCGCACACACACCAACGCAACTGTTCTGTTGGTTTGTCGGGCAGACCGCGAGATGGAGCGCATGAAGGAGCGCACGAAAGCGGAGCGCGAACGCCGCCACATGGAGAGAGCGCTGAAGCGGCGCCACGACGAGCAGCACGAGTACTACAAGAAGTTCAAGGCGGAGCCCCAAGTGCAGGCAAGCGCCGGCAACCCCGCAAACCGGCCCAGTCGGCTTAACAGGCTGTTGCAGGTGGTGACAGTTTCCGACGGCTCCGAACCCGATCCCGATCTGGAGGTGGAGTCGATCAAGAGCCTGAGCGACAACGAGGAGGAGGCGGATGGCGACAGGAGCGAGGCGAGCAGCCGCAGTAAGAGCGGCAGCAAGTCGCGCAGCCGCAGCGCCAGCCC